GCAAAGCCTGTGAGCACCTCAAGGACGTCCCACAAGAGAGCCATGGTGTTCGAGCGGGGCACTAAGTTGCAACCTGAGCGGGCGCAGGCCTGTAGCAAAAGGTGCTGCGATGAACTCGTATTTTGCTTGCTGCGGGACGACGACAACATTACGATAATGAGGATGAGAGTGATGAAGATGATGGCGAGTAGAAAACTACGTAGGTTGAGGGTTTAGGGTTTAGGGAGACTAGGGCTCCTTTAAAGGATCCTTAAAGGGCTCTATAAGGGCTACTATACGGGTTTAGGGGGGGGGGGGGGCTTAAGAATTAGAATAGGGTTTCATAGGGAGGGTTCCTTAAAGGGTTCTATAAGGCCTACAGGGATCCTTAAAGGGTTCTATTAGGGATCTATGATAGGGTTCTATATTAGGGGCCTTAATAACTAGAATAGGGTTTGGGGGCCCTTTGTCCTGAGGGATAGAACACCTGGGTCGTAGTACCCTCAACTTATGGAGCCCTGAACAAGGTACGATGAGGTGGGGCTAGTGTTTGTGAGAAACCGGTTTAACAAAACAACCAACGGACCCGGACAGAAAGCACCCGAAATTTTGAAGCGAGGCCCCAGCATCAAACCAAAAGAGAGGCCGTCTGAACCCAAACAGAAGCCGAAAAAGAGCTCCGAAATAAAGCGGTCCTCTACAAAACTCATCAGTAACCCCGATAGAATCCTAAAACCAACCTAAATAAGGCACCCCTCATGTTAAGAGACCTCCACGAGCCCTGAACCGAAAAACCTTGGACATCCCTCAACCCTCTCTCGCCGTCTCTCCCTCTCTCAGCCCATGCCGGGCATTCGAAACGTCAAGCCTGACTAAATACTAAACTCCCCCTCAAAGCCCTAACCCTTACACTGCCTTACACCCATAAACCCCTTTTCAGCATGGACTTGGATTGTGTGCCAGCGAACACACCTCAACACCCAAAAACCAATTTTTTGCAGCTGGCTTGCAACGTCACGCCAGGACAACACCCAAAAACCCATAAACCCAAAACTCTAAACCCTGAGATAAGAAGCCCCCACGAATCTCTGAGCCCAGCAAGGCGCATGGTGTTGAAGCCTGGGATGGTCATCGCCATGAGCTTTGCCTACGGCGCAGGCAGCTTAGGGCTTACACTATAGTTAGGGTTTAGTAATCAGGGCTTAGGATGGCTTAGGGCCTATACTATAGTTAGGGTTTAGTAGGGCTGAATCAGGGCTTAGGATGGCTTTGGGTTGATAGGAGTTTAGGGTGTAGTAGGGCTGAATCAGGGCTTAGGATGGCTTTGGGTTTATAGGAGTTTAGGGTCTAGTAGGGCTTAAGGTTTGGGATGGCTGAGGGTTTATAGGAGGTTAGGGTTTAGTAGGACTTAGGGTTTAAGACGGTCCAGGGTTTAGGAGTTTAGTAGGGCTTGGGGTTTATGACAGTGGAGTTTAGGGTTTCGTAGGGCTTAGGGTTTAGGATGGTTTAGAACTTAGGATGGTTAAGGGTTTAGGATGGTTACGGGTTTAGGATTTAACCCTAGGCCCTACACCCCTAACCCTAACCTCCTAAACAATTCAGGGCTCGGGTTTAGGGTTCATCAACCTGAAGGGGTTTCGGGTTCACGGGGGTTTTCAGGGTTTATTAATGTAGGGGCCTTAATAATTAGAATAGGGCTTTGGGGGCCCCTTATGATAATTCTAGTATAGTATACCCCAAGCCCTATTCTAAAAATTCAGGCCCCTACACTAGGGTTGAGGGCTTGGGATTGACAGTTTCCAGGGTTTGTGCGGGGCTCAGAGCTCCTAAAACCGGAGAGGGCTGAGGACCTGGCAGTAAGAGGCTCTATAAGGAAAACAAAGCGTAGGTGTTGTGAAATTTTGAGCCATTTTGGAATTTTTGTAATCCAAGACCCTGTTAGGTTGCAATGGCCTCCCGAGCTCAAAAAAAGCCCGGAGCCACAAAGTACGACAGCAAAACCCTAAACCCTAAACCCCAAAACCCTAAACCCTAAAACCCTAAACCCTGAACCCTAAAACCCTAAACCCACTGCTCTAGAAACCCCTCCACCCCCAAGGCCCTCCAATCCTCAATCTCGCGCCTGCATCGGACCAATTGGGACCGAAGGCACCATCGAGGTGCCGTTTTCCTGCGCACTCTGCGGGGCTACTTCCCCGATACTGAAGTACAAAACCTGCAAGCAGCTCGTGGTAAATTACCGTCCGCTTAGAAATCGCGTTTGGGATTCCATGTCAGCTTCGGGCGTCAATAAAAAGAACATGCAAGAATTTGAGACGGAAGGTAGGCACTTTTCTATGGGTCGTTGACGGCTCGAACACACAAGGTGTGAACTGTGCGATTTCCCTTTGACCCCTGACTGCGTTTTTGGCAAAGGTATGTGTCATTCCTTTTTGCCTCCTGGGCCATTTCAAACCGGAGTCCTACGGCCTCTTGCAAAGTATTGGGTTTAGGGTTTAGGGTTTAGGGTTTAGGTGTAAACTATTGGCCAACTACGATTGACTGGGGCTTGCAGAGGGGTGATTGGGAAAGGAACATTTGCAGGATGCCTGTGTGGGGCAAACCAGTGGGGTGACAATCGGAAAGGTCTTGCTTCGCGGCAACATCCTGGTGTGGTTCGGTTTGGGGGGGCAAGCGATCCAGGAAATTGAACTTGCAGAATTCCCGCTTTGCGCCAATCGGATGCGAAGCAGTTTAGCGGGATCATGTGCTGCGAACAGCCAGTGGGAAAGAACTTGGCGGTCAGCTGGATGCAGCATCGCCATCTGTATTTGAAGGGTGTGTCGTAGCCGCCAGCCAACACACTGTACTCATTGAGTTGACACCATGGTCACCATGGGTGTCCATCTTCAGGGTACTGCGAAATTCGAAACCACACCACGAGAAATCCGGGGGAAGGGAGGTCATGGCGTGGCATGACGCCCAGGGAAAGAACCATCGAACTCACCGGTTTCAGCGTTTCGCAGGACCGGCAGGATGTACAAGGACAAGCCGCTGCGTGGCTAACGCAATGCGTCGAATGGCGAAAGGATCTATAGGGTTCAGAGCCCCGAGCCCGAAGGGTAAGATTGGGTACCTTCGAGGGTTCGGTTTCGGTTTTCGCACGCCCCGGGTTCGAAAAGCAGGGCTTCAGGTGATCCTGGTGTTTTTGGTTCCGGGTGCATCATTTCTTCCCACCCACCCACCCACCCACCCAGCCGACCAAGTCGCACCGCAGGGAGTTCGTCCAAGGAACACATGTCCAGGGAAGTCTCGAGGAGAGGTGAAATCTCTTATCGACGGCAACCCACACCCAAGTGGTAAGATGGCGCTGAATAGAACAGTATTTTGTAAGGGTTCTATGAAGGTCTTGTGGGTTGCAATGTACAGCGGTTTCTTGAACCCAGAGGTGTATGTTTGCCATGTGATTTCTGCAGCATGGACAAAAACCCTCCTAAGAGTGTATAAGTTTCGGAGCTGCATGTTGTGGAAAACATTAACCCCGAACCCTAGGCAGGCTTGAGGGCAGGGGTTGCAGAATTGGCGGCCGAATGGCGAGGAAGCTCCCTATAACCCGCAGCCCTTAACCCGACACTTCTGAGATTCTTTGCCATCCACAGAGCGGAATTCTAGCATAAGGTCCGTGTCTATCCTAACACTAAAACCGACTCTGAAACACGCCCTGAATTCCACCTGTAAAAAGACAGCAAAAGCTGTATAAACATCGTAGGGGCCTAAACAGTTACCAATACTATTTTTTTTTTTTTTTTGGGGGGGGTCCTTATGAAAACTATAGTATACCATACCCCCAAACCCTATTCTAACTATTAAGGCCCCTAAACCCTAAACCCTAAAACCCTAAACCCAAACCTCGACAATTTCAACACCAGGACTCCTGGTCTGGAAACCTGGGGCTTGGAGCAGACCTCCTGCCCTTATGTAGGGGCCTTAATACTTGGATTGGCTTTTGGGGTATATTATACTCTTATAATAAGGAACCCCCCAAAATAGCATAGGTAATTGCTTTGGTCCCTAGGTTAACAATAGCCCACAGCAGCCCTACTGGCGGTCCACATATGGGATGGTGAGCGTGAAGATCACCGTGAGATTTCCCAGCCTCAGGATCCGGACTAAGGAGGTTTAGGGTTTAGGGTTTATGGGTGCGTGAGGATTTCGGCTGGGCTTCTACATACCGCAGGCCCTAGTTTAGGGTTTCGACTCACCGGCTTGCTGCGTCTCATAGAAACTCAGCCCTTGCACATGCATTCAAAACTCCTGCACACTTATTGTCGCCCCTACCAAGCAATGTAATAATACCCACAACCCTCTGCTAGTTACTGATTACTAGTTGTTGAGGCCCCTTAACTAAGCCCTCAATGCTCCTCCGAAGATAACCCACCATCCGAAGTCACAGATGCACGCTCAAGGGACTCCTGTGCCATCATATCGAGGTCGACCTTTTAGGATTTGGGTTTTGAGTCAGGGCCGTAATGATTCGGACCGGGTTTGGGGTTAAATTCAGGGTACAATTATGTGGGAACGAGAGGAAATAAGGGTAGACTATTGAATTTGATTCCGGCCTCTGTAGTAAGGTTCTGAAACGAAACGCTAGAATGGTACTGAAACGACCTCACAATCAGAAGGGTGGCTTTGGGGTGGGTTAAAACAATCACGCATGGACTAGACAGTTATAGTAACAGTCTCATAAAACCACCGATATACCCTCGTATCCCTCATAGCCCCCTTTGAAGGACCCTTTGAAGGAACCCTAGTCTACTGATTATGCTCATCAAGGGACAGAGTTTCCGGAATTCGACTCTCTGTCACTTGCCGGCCCAGACCCTAAACCCTCACCAAACCTTCTAAGCAACTCTAATGGTCTAGCTGTAGGTTACTTGCTGCAGCTTAGCTCCTGCATCGTGCTTGTCTGACCCGTTACTGTTTGAGGGCGCTGGCCTAGGGCCAACAAGGCCTAAATGCTTGGTCTACGATGCTTGCACAATTGAACTTGGGATCCGCAAAGGACAATATTTCGAATCACTCACGTCCCTTCGAGTTATAAAACAAACAAAACTTCTCGGGCACACCGGGATCTTAGGCGTAAAGATTTGGGGCTCAGCGCAGGCTAGTTCTCGACAATTTCTTGAAAATGCCTGCAGTTCGACACGCCGAACACATGTGGCTTCTTCGTTCCGTCACCTCAGCCCCACAGGGAATAGGATTTTATGGTTTAAGGCCTAGGGTTGGGGCCGCACGCATTGCACAAGCACGGCCCGAGCCTGTTTTTCAGGCACACCCGTGATGTTGGCCATTACGTCGACATAGGCCTTCTTCACTCGCGAGTCGTCCATATAGGCAGTGAAGTCCTCAGCCCCAAACTGGCAGCTGAATGTTTGCTCAAGATGCCTCTTCACTAAGTGGCTCCTAAGACCTTGGCCGATGTTTCTTCTTGGTGTCTTCAGGGCCTCTTTCAGAAGGCTACAGTACAGCGACCTCGACACTTCATGCCAGGCGCAAGGGCTCTGCAACTGGAAAAACCCGACTGGCATTAGAAGTAAGAGGCGTCATGCCGGAATCTCTCAGACAATCGCCTAACTCTGTGCCAGTCCAAGCATCGTTCGGGTTCATCAGCATCACCCGCATGGCCAATCGCATAAGAGCTGCTGGGCCCTGTGTCGTCGTGGTTGGCGGCGGTTCTGATGGCGGGCGAACAGCTGCTTCTTGGGAACAATTCTCCGTTAGGCACTCTATGGTTAGAAAGTGTATGCTTTCCAAAAAACCTGGCCTGTGGTAGTGGGCGCCTCAGTGAGCGGCACTGTAATCGTGACCGTCGTCGCGGAAGATGTCACGCTGATCGAGGTGGACGTCTGGCTGACGGATGCAGTGGTGGTACTGGTCTCTGTGTGGGTCTCTGTGATCGTCGTCTCGGTCACAGTCACCGTGGTGTCGGTCACGGTGCTCGTCCTTGTGGTCGTCGACGTGGTGAGGCAACAGGGAGCTGCACAGGCTTCGTTACATCCGTCGATGAGAGCCACACCCTCACAGGTAAGGCCTGCCATAGCCAAGCTCTCGCACGTTGCTTGGTACTTGCACACGCTCTTCCAGGTGTTCGGTGGGCACCAATACGGCTTCTGTACCTCGATCGCCGACATGCAGGTCAGAATCGCCCAGGCCAAGCAGAACCGGGCCATTTTTCCCGGCTGCTTTGCCCGCAATGTCGAGAAAGTGCGGGGCCGATTGTCGGACCTGCCGGCTCCGCTTTCAGAGCACGTCCCTTGAGCCAAGTGTGAGACCAAGGGCGCTACAGGAAGCCGAAACTGTGTGTGCTGTGTGCTACGCATGGCGGGGTTTTCGTTCACATGCATACATGCATACCACACAGCTATGTGATAACAAGCTACGACGATGCTAAGACAGATCAAGACTGACCATATTCGCGAACCACTGCCAGGCCATGCCTGAAACCTGTGGCTGTCCAGAACCCACCCGGCCACACATGGGAGTTTCAAAAGCTAGGGTACCTTATCAAGGGGTCCGTGGAGCCTAGTTTCCAGGGTTCTATATTTGTGCCCCTATTTGCTAAAACTTTGACATCTCAACCCAGCCGACACTCAGTTGACCCCTTACCCATACAAGGAACACTGACCCAAACAAAGAACATTTAAAAACACACACGAAGATCCGCATTGTCGATCAGGGCACATAATGACAAATGCGGCCCTGCTGCAGACAGAATGCTCCCGACGTGCCCAAAAATCAACACGCCAAATGGTGCAACCAGAATCCCTTCAGCAAGTGATACCACACGCTGAGATTCCCTGAGCTTCATCTGATGTTTGACGGTCCCTCTGCCTCGATAAAAGTCAGAACTCTAAAGCCATCGGAGCCGTCGTCATCATCATTATCACCATTGCTCTTTCTCATCTTAAAGGAAACATCCATCAAGACGGCGAAGCATGATGGGCTCGATGTACAAATCCGAACTGCAAAGCACAAATCCCCGTGTTCACAAACCCTCTAATCCCTAAACACTAAACCCTAAACCTGATCACTCGCTCTGCATGCCTAGGCCTTAACAGGGAGTTTCCGAAAATAGGGGACCCTAATATAGCACCCTAAATAGTAGGTCCCTTATTATCAGGACCCCCAAATAAGGTACCCCCTATTTTCGGAAACCCCCAACATTCAGCCCAAACCCCAAATGCCAAGCCCCCCCCGTTTCCGCCCCGTGTGCGGCCGCTCTCCTTCAACTCATGGAGCCATGGGAAGTGGTGTCCAAGCACCTCCCGAAAGCCCTGAGAGCAGGTGGGGCTGCCAGCGGGGCTTGGAGGGGATAGGGTCTTTACAGTAGCAGGATCCTCGTGAGTTCCTTTGCGGGTGCGTTGCTGCCATGAGTACGACTATAATAGTCGTACTCATACTAACAATAATAATAAAACTAATAATAATAATAATAATATTTACGGGTTTCAACACTCAAAACTCGTACAAGCCCGGCGAGGTTCCTGGCTCGGCGAAGGCACGTTGGCCGGAGCGTGGCGCATTCGCCGCAGTCACAAACTCTCAACGTTTGAATTCTTCAATGCACTCGGCCATCGATCTGTCACACGCGCCTCCACATTGGGAATCTAGTAATCTAGTCCCCTGAACGGTCCTTAACCCGATCACCGAAACCCAGGGCGCTTCTTTTACGTTTAGCAATCCTGCGAAGACCCTTCCGCGCACGGCACCCTCTGCTTGGGCCCTTGCCGAACCCTCAAGGCTGTGGGGTTTCGGAGAAAATTTCTTGGCATCCAAGTTCTAAGAGCCCGGAGCGCTAAACTCGACCTGAACCCAAAATTCAAAACCCTACACACCCTTTATGCATCCAGGCCTATTACAACTGAACCCTACACCCCTCAAGCCCCTAAACCCTAAACCCCCCAACCTCTGAGCCGTTTTGGGGCTTCGGGCCCCCAATGCCTTGGGATCCTCCATCTGCAAGCCCACCACGCAGCGGCGCAGCCGCCAAATCGCGGTTCGAGCCTGGAGCGGATGAGATCCATGTTGAATACAGGGGTCTTAACAGTTGCCCTATAATTTATAATAGTCCCCTAAACCCTAAACCCTATGATAACAAAAACAAGGTTCAGGCCCCCAGGCTAGGCTTCTGCAGTGACGGAATGCCTTGTTGGATGCTGAGTATAGGTCTTCTACTACTAGAACCCCAAACCCTCAACCCCAAAGCCTAAACCCCGCTCTTGCATATAATCAGGGTGCAGGGAGTTTGTGAAAAAACCGGGTCGCAGTGGGAAAGGTCTCGGGTTCAGGACGCAGGTATGGGTTTTAGGGTTTAGGGTTTAGGGTTTTAGGGTTTAGGCGTTCAGCTTACAGCTCAAGATTGAAAAAGGCCCTGCAATCCAAACCCCCAAACCCCCGACCTGGCCCATAATATCAGAAAGTCCTGTAGGGCTCAGAGGTTTAGGGGTTCGGGTTTAGGGTCTAGCTGAATGCCTTCTCATACCCCCAAAAAGTCCAAGTCCGCTGGTGCCTTCCCGTGCTCCGGGTCCAACGCCCAAGCAAGGCGGTTCCTGAAGAGTTTGAAAAGGGGAATGTGCCAGATGTTGCCCAAAAGGATATGGGGTTTCGACTCGCCCACTCGCACGAGGTAGGCGCGGTTCCCTGTCTTGTCGGACTAGGAGCTTGTCCCTCACGAAAAGCCACCCAAAAAAAGATCATGCGAACCTAAATCGCGACAGGCAGCCTCCTGTAATGCGTGAGATGTATCTCTGGAGTGCTCCAAAGGCCAGAAGGAATGACGGTTGTACTATCAGGCGAAGGGCATACAGAGGACGTGCCATCTGCTAGCTCTACTTTCCATGTGGTCACTGACGTCTAGGCACAGATCTTCAACTGTCAGGGCTCAGAAGTACATCTTAGCATCCTGAACGGCATCCATGCACAAGCAACATCCAGCGACTCATGCTCACAAGCCAAGCAAATTCTGAGAATCCCATATCGTGTCGAGCTCGATGTGTGAGGACATGGCCAGCACTGTACAACGGGCACCGAAAACGCACGCACATCTGGTAATTATTGAGGCCCCTATATTGCCGCCATACTGACATGCAGTCAAGTCGCTGTGGACCGCCCAGGAAGCGGAAGTAGAACTTCTCCTGCGAGCTCACAGAAGGGATTTCATAAGTAGATAGACACAATAAATACATGGGCGGGCTAGGTAGGCAGATAGGCAGATAGATAGCCGGATAGATGAACGGATAGGTCGATGCATATACTTAGAGGGATAGATGGACAAATAGATTGACGAATGGATAAGTGGATGGGTAGGTAGGTAGGTAGGTAGGTAGGTAGGTAGGTAGGTAGGTAGGTAGGTAGGTAGGTAGGGCAGGTAGGGCAGGTAGG